GTTTTTAATCAAAATGACGTCATTTTTGCAACCGTATGCACCATGCACAGCATAATTTGTGCCCATCCTTAAAAAAAAAAAAAAGTTATGGATTATAGTATATATATATAAGCAGCCTTACCGTGAAACCCTTTTCCTTTAGCATTATCGCCCATTACGCAACCCTATGTCCCTATAGCATTAATGCATTATGTATTTATTCTTCCCATATTAGATTTATGTATTTATATATACAGGGTGTTACTATATTTTTTTTTTGGTGTAAATCATACATTGTGGTCCGGGTCTTTATCTTTATCTGTTCGTTTAACGGTCCAGGTCCAACCGGTTCGCTCCAGGAGACACAGAAGCTGGCCCAAAAGGAATTATCACTTATGGAAATCAAACTCAGGTTATCCCAGAATTCTCCCCCACAAAGAGAGCTCATTTACCAGTTGAGCTACCCTGTTGGGTTGGTATTACTATATTAGATTAATAATATATGTATATAGCATTATGTGTTTATGTATACAGTATATTACTATATAGGATTATTTGCTTGAGTTCATTACGACAATACCGAAAATTGCTTAATGTTTTTTTACACAAATCTCACAAAGACAGATCATAGTCGAGTGGAGCGACAGACACAATTTGATAGAATTGAAGAATTCTTCTTGATCATATAAAATCATAAATTTTCGAGTTCTTCAATTCTCTTAACAGGTAATTAAAATTACTAAATATTTCATAATTCTTGTTTATTATTTTATTTACATTACTTAATAATTCTGATTTCAGAATAATATATTCAAAAATTTGTTTCTTGATTAATTATTTGTTCATAGGGTTTCTAAATAAATTCTTTTTTTTTATGGTTTTATAATTATGTCTTTTAAAAAAATATTCATGTGGATTTGAGAAACGTAAAAATAAAAGAAAAATTGAGCAACTAACTCAATCTCAAAATGGAGCTCTTGAAAAATTCATTACAAAAGAAACTCAAATAGAAATGCAAAAAGATGATGTCAAGGAAAAATTGTTAGATGCTAATCTTCATATAGAAGATCAAGATGATTGTAGGATTGGAACAAATTTAAATGATAGTGTGCACAATGAAGATAGGTATCACCGACAATGAAAATAATAAGAATGTTGATAGTTGTTTAGATGATGTTGGTCACACGATAAAGTTTGGTGAATGATTTTGCGTCTAAATGTGCACGACGCAGGTCATTTTTTAAAAGAAATTTTAGATGTATTTTTTATACAATATGTATACTTTGAATTTTTAACACAACTTTTGAAACAACTATTTTTTTTTTAAAAGAACAATTATTTTTTTATATACAAATTATTTAAAAAAAGGCTCAATTTAAGATATTGCACATGACCCCATTATTTATTGGAACGACCATGGTAAGGGGGGTGTATTCCATGGCATTTCCACGAAGATTTTATTTTTTTGAAAACTTCCACGAAGATTTATAAGAACTACTTTTAATCTTTAAAATTGAATTAAGATGTTTATAAATTTTTATAGGTTTAAAGGGGGCGTTTGGTTCAGGTTATATTACATAACCAAGGGAATGTGACATTCTATAGCTTACATTCGTATGTTTGGTTCATATTATCTGAGGGAATATAACATTCCCAAAGAATGAAACATTCACTCCACATAGGATTTTGAAGGAAATGTGATTCCCTTCATTTTCTTAAGTTATGTAAAATAACCTTGGTTTTCAAAAGAAAAAAAAATGTAAGGTAACCTTGAATATTTATACATTTTACCATTTTAATTCTAATTATTTAAAAACATATATTTTATGTTAGCTATATATATATATATATATATATATATATATATATATATATATATATATATATATATATATATATAGAAGAGCGCTCATATGTGGTCATGTCATTAGGTGTGGTTGTGTGGTCGTATCTGTGTCGTTGAATCAGTTTAATCTAACGGTTGTAGTATTTCTGAGGATTTTCGTGCGTTTTGGTAAGTGGGGGTGTTATGGTAATTACAGTGGCCATTTATAGCGGGCGAGTTCCAGAATACACCAACAGTGTTGACAACATACACCAATAGTGTAATAAAACACACCACAGTGAAACACACCAATGGTGTATTCCCGTGGTATGGTAATTACAGTGACCATTTATAACGGCTGGGTTCCAAAATACACCAACAGTGTTGACAACATGCACCAATAGTGTAATAAAACACACAACAATGTGATTTTCCCTATTCCGGTGTTTTATGACGAGTTTACCATTGCAGTTCGCTAGGTAGGAGAATGTGCGCGAAAATTCTTGATTAATATGATTCATTGGATCTATCTAATCTAATGGCCTATAATTGACCATATGACCACACCTAACAACATGGCCACATGTGATCACCCCTATATATATATATATATATATATATATATATAAAAGATAACCCTAAACTAAACCAAACATGGTTATATTACATCCCTCAATTTTAATCAAACACAGAAATCTAACATTCCTAGCAATCTAACATTCTCTAAGGTAATCTAACATTCCGTGAACTAAACGACCCCTAAAAGTCTTAGCTTGTGTGATATAATTAAGGAATGAAATATTTGTATGTATTATGTTTGAGTAGGATAATGAGGTGTATTTAGTTATGACTTTTATAGACTTTTTTTTTTTTTTTTTTTTTTGGAGAGCGAAGTATTAATTCATTGAATCATAATCAAGAATATATGTTTACAAGAAAAAATGGAGGAGTGTTAAGCCATTCCCCGCAACATGACATAAAAAGGGTCTCCCTAGTAACTGAGTGGGCGGCACAATTCGCTTTACAAAACGGAACTCAACATCCCCGATCGCGGATGCTAATTCTTTTATATCATCATCTAAGAATCCAAAATCAGAACTAAATGACGAAGAATGGATGGCATTAAAAAGAACATGTGAATCCATTTCCACGTCGACGCTCCTCATTCCTGTGCCCTTCAACCAGCTCATCGCCCCCCGCAGGCTCAACGCCTCCGCTTCATTGACCAGAAAATTCCCCGGCATAATCATGTTCTTGGCTGCAAGAAAGCGACCATCATCATCACAAAGGACCCAACCAAACCCCATCACATTATTACCTTGGCCTATTGAAGCGTCAGTATTTAACTTGATTCACCCATGTTGTGGCCTAGTCCACCGTGTATCACCAGCTTCGGCAGCAGGAGGTTTAGTCGCCTCGTTTGCATCCTTCCAACTTTCCAGGAAACTGAGAGCTTGATGCACCATCATATTAAGAAAAAAAAAAAAACCAAATCCCTTCCACACGCTATCATTTCTACTGGACCATAAACCCCAGCAGACCATAACATAGTGAGGCAAGGTTTCGGCATTCAAGGAATCCACGCACCAAAAAAAACCCAATCACTAATATGATTACTAGTGAAGGTGGATAGGTGCGCCATTATGCCTAGCTTGTTCCAAATGCGGGCTGCCTTAGTGCAGTAAACGAAGAGATGAAGAGCAGTCTCGGCAATATCCCTCAAACAGGTTCATCCAACTATCAGATGCTAGGATACGGTCTAGCTTCTCTTCCACCATATGATCAGTGCCACGAGATCTTTTCCAAGTAAATTGGTTCCCACTAAAGGGTACATCTTGCAGGCCACAATCTGCCACAACTGCTTTAAACCCGTTAATGAGCCATTCTGGGTGCGGTGTTTGGCCTCGCTTTTCAGACTGATCAAGGAGATCATTATAATCGCCCATGATCAGCCAAGGTAACGAACATTGAGATGCTAGCATCCACAACATTTGCCATGCCTCCCTTCCGCCGTTGTCTCTCCGGAAAATCGTAGTAGCCCGTCAGTCACCAAATTGGACTGCCCACGTCCAGTGCTATTTCTGTGTCAATGTGATTGGGAGAATAGCCAGTTACATTCACTTCCACATTGTTCGTCCATAAAAACGTCAAACCGTCTCTATGTCCCTACTGTTTCCACTGTAAACACACGACTTTTATAAATTTTTAAAATTATATATTTTAATAAAATTTTAGTAACTTTTATAAATCATTCTGAACTTTTGCGAACTTTATAAGAATCTATAAAAACTATTAATTTAAAATATATAATATTAAATAAATGATTGCCAATGTAGATACTTCTATGTAACTTGTCACTCTTAAATGGAAGGTTAATTAATTGTAACTTTTTTTTTTTTTTACATATATATAGCCCAAATGTCCTACTATTTCTTAAGAGCAAACAAAAAAATCTGCGATCATTATTGTGTGGACCATATTATCAAATAATATACATTCAGTACACAAATAATATATTTTTAATATATTAAAAATGTACATTATATTTATGGAAAATATATTATTTTAGTACTGAAAATATATTATTTTGTATAATGTACCTTCAGTACAATTTAAAAACTAGCATCATATCCATGCGATGTACAAACTAAAGATCATAAATATTATTATTATTATTATTTTATTATGGTAAGAATTATTATATATACATATAAGATTGGATACAATTAATTGGAATTTATATATTAATGAATAGACAAATTACATTAAATATACAACTATTTTCAAAAAAAAAAAACATTAAATATACAACTGATTAATCTATATTGATTGAAAATTAAAATATCACACATAAGAAACCAATCACTAACAAATTACACATATATTTAAGCATAGAAATCCGTTCAGACGGTTAAGAACTGAAAATCTGAACGGATATGTATATATATTTATAGAAAATATTCATGAATTTTATGTCACTAATCTAAATAAAGATTTAAGTAAAGAAAACATAATTAATGTAGCAATAAATAAATAAATAAATAAGTAATAAATTGTAACTAACAATCCTTAATCCTCTAGAAACCAATCACTAACAAATAACAATCCTTAACCCTCTATATTTAAGCATACAAATCCCTTCAGATTTTCAGTTCACACTTCTCTCACAGTCTCACTTCGTCTGCCTTTCTCCTCTGTAAACGCCGACAGCCCGCAGCAAGAGCAATGCCCAGGTTTTTATATTACAGTATTTAATTGCTATAAAATTACACATTTATCTTGCCATTTATTTCATCATCAGGGTTATTTTTCCAAACCCAAAATCTTATAAAACTCTATATTTATTTAATCCATATGTTGTATTTACCGTCATCATTTTATTTTCTAGATCAGTCTTAATATAATTGTTTTCTGGTTTCAAACGATGACCAGAAGTAGATCTGCGATGCCCATCTCATCATCTCAAAAACAATCCTAAAATATAAATATATTAAATAAATAATAAGAGTTACTAAGGGGGCTTTTGGTTGGATGAAAATGTTTTTTTAAAAGTGAAGGAAAATGTTGGTTTATGTTGTTTGGTTGGATGGAAAATATTTTTCATTGAAAAATGAATTTCTCAAAGTTGAGGAAAATGAATTCTTTGCAAAGGGGTGTGATTTTGTTTTACACAAGGATTGGAAAGAAAAATAACAACTGTTACCCTTGTGAAAGTATATAATTACACAGGCACCTATTTATTCATTCATTGGACATATTGGTTTTATATTTATTATTCCTTTATCTTTCTAAACCCCACCGAACAATGGAATACATATTCATAGTAATTTCATTTTCACCAACCAAAGAATTAAATCAATTTTTCTAGAATTTATTTTCATAGAATTTCAATTCCATTTCCCTTCGAATATTTTTCAGCGAACCTCTAAAATAAATAAGAACACAATAAACAAATGAATTCATTCAACTTTTATATATATATATATATATATATATATATATATATATATATATATATATATATATAAGTACATTGGAAAACATTGTAAAAGATTATTAAATATCAAGAATATATGGAATGGAAAACATTCCTTACTTCACACAACTCAATAACAATGAAGTTCAATCGTTATGTCGTGGAACTATGTCCACCTTATGTTCTATGTTTATAATTATAAAATTATATGTTCATAATTATAAAATTATATGTTCATAATTTTTAAACTTCATATTTATAATTATTAAACTTTATATTCATAATTAGAACTTTGTGTTCATAATTACTGAACTATATGTTTATAATTATTAAGTTATATATTTATAATTTTTAAGCTTCATATTCAAAATTATAGAACATATATTATGTGAGTTATATATATAGGCTCTGGTAAAATAATTAGCTTATCTGTTAATTTTAGTTTATTTGACTATTATTAGATGTTTGGTAAATAAGTTTTTTGTAACTCCAAAAAGTTGTTCAAAGCTAATTTTTTCAATTAGCTATTTGAGAAAATAAATTATACCAAACAACTATCAACTAACAGCTAATTTACCGAATCTATTAGCTAACATCTATTTACAAATAGGACCATAATTTTATTTTTTTACAATTAGGCCCCAAATTGTAAAATAAAAAATAAAAAATAAAAAAATTATATACTTATATACATAAATTATATGAGGATTGTCAACCCAATTACCATTCAAATGGATGTTCATAGAATCATAGGTTTGAATCCCGGTTGTGGGGGCTAGATTCTTTAATTTTCTAGAAGTGGTCTGAGTGGAGGTGTCGGTCGGTAGTATATTGATTTTGAAAACGGAAGTTCTTCATTAAGTAGGTAGTTTAATCAGGATCTAGAGGAATTGAAGTTCTTCATTAGGTAATTTAATCAGGATCTAGAGGAACTGAAGTTTTTCATTAGGTAGTTTAAGAGGAACTGAAGTTCTTCATTAGGTAGTTTAATCAGGATCTTAGGTAGTTTAATCAGGGTTTAGAGAAACTGAAGTTCTTCATTAGGTAATTTAATCAGGATTTAGAGAAACTGAAGTTCTTCATTAGGTAATTTAATCGGCACACTCACAGTTTCATTGCTTTCATATCAACAATGCATATTTGTGTGTGTGCGCAGGTCGGAGGCAGAGCACGAAAGAGTATTAAAGCTGAATGAGGAGAGCAGTGAGAGCAACAAGGCCGAACAAGAGAGGATGCAAGAAACGGTGCGCGAGATGGGGTTTAAAATGGATAGATTGGACGAGTTGCTGACAAGCCGGGGGAAGGAGCTCAAAAAATGTGTGGACCAACTCAAACTAGGAGATAAGCAGGTAGGAGAAAGAGAGCAACAACAAAAGCAGCAGCTTGAACAACACCAAAACTTCCAAAATCGCCTGCTTCAACAATATCAAGACTACCAAGACTTTCAAAACATGATTCAAAAACTACAACAAAAGCGCCTGCGTCAACACCAACAAAACTTACAAAAGCACCGGCCTGCTTGATAAACCCAAAGGTAGGTAGCTGTCTTGAATGAAAGAAACAGGCAAGGTGGAAAATGTGAAGCACTATATACTTGATGAAGTAGCTTTGTCATCCGATCCTTACCTAGTATATCTTCCTCTTTTTAGTGTCATCTACTATTTTAGGCACCTTTACAGATTAGACATATATTCGCCTTTATACAGGGTATTATCCTTTATTTTGGGAATTAATTCTAAATTTTTTTCCACAACTAGACATATATTCGCCGTTAATTGCAATGGACATGAGTGGCAACACATTATTTCTAGGTGAGCCTTGCCGACTTAGCACATTACAAGGGTTAGCCGTTAGCCATGCGAGCTATATATGGCGCAAGCCATGGGTTACGGATCGTTATGCTGGTGCATACGGATGCAAAAACGACGTCGTTTTATTAAAAACGCGAATCGCACTTAAAAAAAAACCAGTTTCGATTCCCCTCAACAACGACGTCGTTTTATTAAAAACGCGAATCGCACTTAAAAAAAAAAATCAGTTTCGATTCCCCTCAACAGCATTATGTTGTTCATTCATTCTGAAATTTTAGTTCATAGATTTTGGAATTGTACTTCATAGATTCTGAAATTTTAGTTCATTGATTATGGATATTTAGACGTGAATTTTCGAAACTGATTTTTTTCATTCATGCTGGATATTTAGTTCATTCATTATGGATATTTAGTTCATTCATTATGAATTTTTATTTCATTCATTCTGGAATTTTAGTTCATAGATTCTAGAATTTTAGTTCATCGATTCTGGAATTTTAGTTCATTGATTTTGAAATTTTAGTTCATTGATTATGGATATTTAGACGTGAATTTTCGAAACTAATTTTTTTCATTCATGCTGGATATTTAGTTCATTCATTATGAATTTTTATTTCATTCATTCTGGAATTTTAGTTCATAGATTCTGGAATTTTAATTCATAGATTTCTGGAATTGTAGTTCATCGATTCTGAAATTTTAGTTTATAGATTCTGGAATTTTAATTCATAGATTTCTGGATTGTAGTTCATCGATTCTGAAATTTTAGTTCATTGATTCTGGATATATAGTTCAAATTATGCACAATATAATGTTGTTGCTAGGAATCAAAACTGATTTTTTTTTTAAAGTGAGAGTTTTTAATAAAACGACATCATTTTTGCATCCGTATGCACCATATGGTGCATACGGATGCATAGCATAATTTGTCGCGGGTTACCGCTATATATATATATATATATATATATATATATATATATATATATATATATATATATATATATATATATATATATATATAGAGAGAGAGAGAGAGAGAGAGAGGGGAAAAAATTGTCAAATTGGCCCTCTAAGCCTAGTGGATAGTGCAATTGGGTCCACTAAGTGAAAAAATCTCCATTCAGGTCCTCTAAATCGGTAAAATTGTTTAATTAAGTCCAAATTGACTTGTTTATCAGGTTAAATGCAAACCTTCGTTCAGGTCCTCTAAACCAGTAAAATTGTTCAATTAAGTCCAAATTGACTTGTTAAGTTAAATGCATACGGTGTTGACACATGTTATTATTTTATTTTTTTTATTAAAAATATTATTTATTATAAATTAATTAAATAAAAATATTATTTATTATAAATTAATTAAAATAATAATAATTATTATTATTAAAAAATTAAAAAAATTTAAAAAACCACACAGTGGTCGTCTTCCTTCTTCAAGGACAAATTCTTTTTAATTATTATTATTATTTTAATTAATTTATAATAAATAATATTTTTAGTAAAATAAAATAAAATAAGGACACGTGTCAACACTGTAATTTTACAAGTTTAGGGGACCTGAATGGAGTTTTTTTCACTTAGGAGACCCAATTGCATTATCCACTCGACTTAGGGCCAATTTGACACTTTTTCCATATATATATATGGTGAAAGATGGGGTAAAATCTGAGTTGTCGATTTAATCTAGATCAACAGTTCAAATCAAGAGAAACTATATCAGTTCAAATCAAGAAAAATTATATAAAAAAAAAACTACGCACCTTAATGTATAAACCCACGCACACACCTTAACATATAAAACAATGTACTAGTTTAAACTGATGCACCTTAAACTAGAAAAGTGACGTACTTTAAATTTTAAATATGTGTACCTTAAGAAGGAAAACTACGTATATACGCACCTTAAGAAGGAAAACAACGTATATGCGCACCTTAAGAAGGAAAACGACGTATCATAAGCTTTAAATATGTGCACCTTAAAGAAGGAAAATGATGTATCCTAAGCTTTAAATATGTGCACCTTAAAGAAGGAAAATGATGTATCTTAAGATATGCAAAGACGCACCTAAAGCTTTAAACTGATGCACCTTAAACTATAAAAGTGGCGCACCTTAAGTTTTAAATATATGCACCTTAAGAAATAAAACGACGCCCCTTAAGCTATGGAAAGACGCACCTAAAGTTTTGGACTGATGCACTTTAAAGTTTCAACAAAAAATTCACAATTCTCAACTGAAGAACTGACGCACGTTAAGAAGGAGAACGTCGCACCTTAAGTTTAACCAATACAAAGAAAAAAAAAAAAATTACCACCTTTTAAAAAAAAAAAAGTTTTCTTCAATCTGGGCTATTAATTTTGATTAGATCAAGGGCTAAGATTAAACCTCATCTTTTACTTGAAGCCTATTACCGCATTTACTCTCTCTCTCTCTCTCTCTCTCTCTCTCTATATATATATATATATATATATATATATATCCTTTATATAATAAAGCTATATGATTTGGGAAATAATTAATTTACAATTAATGCCACAACATCCTTTATTATAAATAAAAAAAGAAAACACAACATTTAAAAAAATAAAATAGTTATATATTATATAATCATATAAAAATATACTTTTGAAAAATAAAATAGCTATATATTATATAATCATATAAAAAATGTGTTCAATTAAAGTTTAAATTTACACATACAAAATTTGAAATTTGCTTTCCAAATGTAATTATCTTAGTTATTATTCGTATTGTGAAAATTATAATATAGATGAAATACAATTAAGAATAAATCAATGTAATTATGTAAATTCTCTCTATAAGTTTATTTGAATATGTACATAATTAGAGATTATATTAACCATACAAAATTATCATTTTAATTTTAATTTTAATTTTAACTAGTATTTTCACCCGTGCGATGCACGGAATGAATTTACTATAATATTTTAAGAATATTTGGAACGATATATTGATGGATTATATGAACCCGGGGGTCCAGATTATACAACCCGAATATATGATCGAATTATGACAAGTATAAGATTATATATATAATTATATAAATTATAACATCAAATATTATATAGTGTTATCATTATTAACACTTAATTACTTTTAGATATTATTATTACCACTTATATTATTATTATTATTAGTTTCTTTTCAAGTATTGTTAGTATATAATGGTCGTGAGGCACAATAATAATATAACCATAATTAAATATTCTTGTATTGTATTCCGGAGTTAATGTCATTTTTGGTCCTAGACTTATTGAGGCATTGACACTTTTCATCCAGCATAATAAAAATTGCCACTTAGTAGACACTGTTATTGGTCGTTGGACAGTTTGATCCTCCGTCAATGAAGTCGTTTGTTGACCGTGAATTAGAAGGGCTTTTCTGTCTTTTTATGTCTTATTCTTCTAATCTTGTTTAGACAAGCGCTGTTGTGACTCCTGTGAGGCGAGATGGCGAGACTTGGCGGCTAAGTAGTAACCGTCAGTAGTGAGTAGCAGCGAGGTTCTTCTCCGGCGAGTTGTGGGTACGGCAGCGAGCATACGAAGCAGTAACTCCTTCCGGCGACGGATCAGTAAGGCAGATCTGGCGGTGCAGCAACAGATCCGGCGAGGTTGGGGCCTTCACCGGTGGTTTTTGGTTCCGGCGAAGCAGAGAGGGCAGCAGGTCGGCGAACCCTCCTATGGTAAATAGCAGTTGTAGATGGCGTGATGTAGAATTTACACTTGTAAGTCCTCCCTTCCATATTGACCACAAATATCCTTCCCATCTCTCTCTCTCTCTCTCTCTCTCTCTCTCTGACCACAACTACTTGGTGCACAACTTCAAAAACTCTGTTATTCTACCTGAAATTCATTGAAGTTTCAAGCTGAAAATGTGGAATCCGCCGCTCCCCAAAAATCGCATTGTCTGAGGTGTTGGAATGGTCGGTGTTGACTTCCTGGCTGCTGTAGCTTCATTCCCCAACCCGGATGATAAAATTTGGAGCACCAGCTTTGAGGTTCAAGGAGGTGGTAACACTGGCAATGCTTTGATAAAACCCGGATGATAAAATTTGTCTTGGTCTTAATCCAAGGATCATATCTAAGGTTGCTGATGACTCGCATAGCGAAAGAATACTTGATGAGCTTGAAAGGGATGGTGTTGATACATCTTTTATGGTGGTGTCCAAAGGAGGAAACTCACCATTCACATATGTCATTGTTGACAACCAAAAAAAAAAAAAAAACTCGTATGTGCATTTTCACTCCAGGATATCCACCCATGATATATGAGGGTTTACATACCCAAATCAAAATTGTCTTCAGCGCTTGGAGTAAATATTGTCTACTTAGATAGAAGGCTGCATGAGACTGCTTTGATTATAGTGCAGGAGGCAAAGAGTAGGGGCATACCTATTATAGTTGATGCAGAAAGGTTAAGGGAGGGGTTGGGTGATATTCCTGACTTTGCTAGTTATGTTGTATGCTCGACAAAATTTCCACAGGCATGGACTAATGCCCTTTCTATTCCAACTGCACTTGTTTCCATTATCTTGAGATTGATGTCAAATGTAAAATTCGTGATTGTTAGTTGGGTGAAGATGGTTTCTTAATGTTAGAAAGGACTGAAGCTGATAACCTCAGTTTGAAGAAATGGATGTAGCAGTGACCAATGGATGGAGAATACAAGGATTAGAACATAAAAAGATAGAAAAGCCCTTCTAATTCACGGTCAACAAACGGCGTCATTGACGGAGGATCAAAACTGTCCAACGATCAATAACAGTGGCTACTAAGTGACAATTTTTATTATGGAGGATGAAAAGTGTCAATGTCCCAATAAGTCTAGGACCAAAAATGACATTACTTGTATTCCATGAGTCACAATAATAATATAACAATAATTAAATATTG